TCTCAGGACATATTATTCAGTCATTAGAAAAGAGGCTTCCATGTTATTGTTAATCAGTTCGATCCTTAATCGACACCAATTATATTTGAAATCCTTAGAAAAATCGCTTTTTTTTTTTTTTTTTACTACTAATTTTTTTTGTAATATTTTTTATTTTATTTTAATTTTTTTTTTTTTCAATATCATTTTGTTTTCCGCAAGTCAGTTAAGTATATCACGAAATATGAAACGCCTTGTTTGTTCATATATATATATATATATATATATATATATATATAGTTTAACCGTTCCTTGAATCAGCATGAATTCACCTTTTTAACCTCGTCTCAATAAATTTTGAAAGCCTCGAGGCATCCTAAGATTATTTGTTCCTTATGAAATATAATTAGGGATATCGTCAAGGTTATTAGGAAAAAATAGCGAAAAATTGCTTGTTTATCCTATAATCCCGTTTATTTTCATATAAAATTTTTATCATTTCATCCCAAGTAAATCAATAAAGTTACTAATACACAAGGTGTTACCGGGTATGAAAGAATAAGAAGAAAAAAAAAAGAAAAAAAAAAGAGAATTATTAGTAAAGGGTGAGATCTATAGAAGAAGACTAATCAAGAAGACGATGGATAATGATTGACATTGCATTTAAATTTTTCAAGATCAAAAAGAGTTCCACCAGTGAGAAGTGCGAGAGAAAAATAGCATAAAACTTACAACTGTAAATTGGTGAGACCTTGTTGCCAATCTAGTCCTGTGCTTAAATTCATAAACTCTAGGTACCATAGCGAATAATTAGCATGAAAGTATTTATAGAAAAAGCACAAGAAAACTATATTATGGCGGTTGGTATGTGACTGAATTGTGGATTCTTCTTTGGATTTTATAATAAATCTCTAATTATATACCAGGAGGCACCGAGCCACATATAGCAGCAATATTCAAAACATGGACGAATGGTAGACTTATAAATATATAAGATAGATTGTGAAGAGAAAAATTGTCTAGCAAGATACAGTGAACAATCTTTCTTACCAGACCTAACAATGGATTCAGTGTAACATTTTTTTTACCTTTTACTTTTGCCGATAGAACTTTAATAAGTAACCTTTTTGAACGAGGACGATCATAACTCTCCACAACTTCCTGTTTCTTATTCTTTGTAGCTCTATGTAATGTTTGTCTCTTTGCCATCCCTTTCTGTCACCAATTCGCACAAACTCGTCAGGCATATTACCCACTTTTTCTTCTGGCCTGTTTGCCTTCAAGATGACCTTTGAGTATTACATTCTGTAAGCCGTCTTTCCTTATTGTGCCCCAGAAATTTCAAATGTCGTTTTCTCATTCTAAGTACATGTAGAATGAGAAAGCGGCATTTGAAATTTATACTGTATACTTTTTGCTTCAATTTTCCTTAAATCATTCTCGTTTCTCATATGCTTCCTCCATAGTATTCTCAGTATCCATCTGTAGAACCATATCTCCATTGCCTCATGTCTCCTCTTCATCGGTGGGGGAATTTTCATCTTTGCTTCATTTTATTTCTATTGCTTATTATCGCTATTCTAAGATCATTAGTTCTTGCCTCTAAGGCGTGATGTGACTCGTCAATTTTTACGCTTGTTTAACCGTTGTTGTATACGGGTAAATAGCAAAGATAGATTTGGTTCTATAGCGTTGGTTGGCATAAGGAAAAATATGAATTCAAACCAGCCTGTAGAGGGTTAGGCTCCGTCATCTTGCTCAAGACCTATCACTGTTGTTACGGCTGCTGAACACATGGTGCCCCTACAACAATAATGGATTGCGGGACAAGTGATCATGATCTTGAATATTAGAAGGAATTAATCAAAGCATGTCTTTTAATTAGCCTGTTCAATGACTATCACTGGCTAATTCTACCAGTTCTTTATCTATTTCTATATCTCCAATTAACAGCTTATCACCCTAATAACGGCCAGTTTCTTTCTGTCTGACTCTTGTAATATAAGCTCGCGACCGGAATTCCCCATCTTCCAGTTGAGTGACACTTGATCCCGAATTTTTTAAAAATTTATATTTTTTTTTTACTTCGTATCCACTTCATCTGCTTGTGAACAGCAGGTGATTGCTTTGAAGTTCTCATCAGTTGAGTTTAACCCAGATAATAAAACACTAGTCGCTTCAGGCTCTGATAAAATCCTTTATCGTTCATTTTCCTATGTAGACGTCTTGATTATATTCGGGGACCCATTGTGTCACATGTGTATGAACGAAAATATGTTATTTCAGCATACTATTTATGATCCTCGAAACTACACATTTTCCCAGTTTTCTTACATGAGATTTATCAGTAGCCTCCATCTTGAACTTTTACTGTCGAACGGTTACAGTTGCCTTGACCTATATCGCCATGTCTGGCAATTGATGCAACACTGAGAAGGACATTACTACTTATCGTTTCTTAAGACCAGTATAGCCATATATCTGCGAGAAATTTCTCGAACGTAACTGTGCCAACAAGTTTAATTCTGCCTAATCTTTTTTGTTCAACATAAAAGTGTTTACTTACATAATTTACATTATTCTGACTGTTATTCTCATCTTCATTGCCATATTCACAACGTTTCGGCCGTTGTACGCTCCGGTCTTCTTTAGGTGATTGGAATTTCGAACCGAACTCTTTATTTCGTCCAGCGCGGTAGATTGTTCTAGTTCCACGTCCCATACCTCTTCCGGATATCTCAGTTTTTTCACCTTTAGCTCAACTCTCCATGTTTTGGTTCACCACTGCTGTAGGCTGGTATTGAACTCACAACTCTTTGGGTCTAGTCACTAGATTTAACCAATGCTTTATCCACTGGGCCATGTGTTCTTGAGGAGATTGTTGATTTTTTTTTTTTTTTTTTTTTTGCATAATGTTCTTTCGATAAAAGTTTCTTTTTTCCTAAATGAAGTATATTCCAGTTGCTAGGATTGTTAGACATTTTCATGATGGTCGTCCTCGAGTATAGAATCCAGAGGTTGGCAGTGCATATTACGAAGACAGTAGGAAAGCGTAGTGCAGGTTCGCAGTGGATATCGCAGCAAGGTAGCAGAGCGTAGTTCTTCCGTCTGTCATGTTCGCCGGACAAGTTGCCTCTGTTCAGGTTGATAGGAGAAACAAAGATGGCCGCCTTTATACACGACGAATACAGTGTTGTGTGGCTTCTGATTGGTCAACCTTCTATTGGTCGACTATAAAGGGAAATAAGTCATTTTGACTCGCTCACTAGTTACATTTCCCTTTCAGTCACTTTCGCGCAAACACGGAAATTCATCGCTTCTCGATGTCAGACGGTTCTTTAGCCTTGGTCAGTAACCACTCTAGTAAAAGCACAACTGATGAGGGCTATACAGAGATTTGGTGACACACTGTGCACCAGTTCTCTGTAGTCTTTTCTTCCAAAGACTGTACTTTATTCTGCAGAAACCTTCATCACTAACATTAAATCATATTGTCCAGTTGTTTAGTTCTCACAAGATTGCTAAACCGGCCTATATCAAAGAGTTAATGCAGATACTAAACTTTGATCTCAGTACAAAGGCCGGGTAAACAGAAATAAAACAAATCTGAAAGTATGGAGCACTCTGTGAGGATCGAACTCAGCAGAAATATATCCAATGAGACAAGCTTACTAACCATTACGCCACGTTGAGGTGCCCTGTCAGTCAAGTTATGTGCCATGCATGGTATCTTTCGATACATGACTGACGAGGCAGATTTTTTCCCGCAGTAGGCTGCCATTTCTTTCTGCGGTACACCAGTTGCTTTGCAAGGCTACCCTGGTCTGTCCTGTTATTTATCCATAGCTAGTGGGAGAAAAAGATTCATACATTTCCCAAGGGCATTAGCACGTAAGTGAATGTAATGGATTCGACTGGAATTCGAACTCGGCTCTCCGATTCCTCAATCCGAGCCGCTATCCACCGAGGTGACCTGGATAAATCTAATAAACGACTTCCCTATGTCTGCAGGATGTGAGAAGGTCGCTTTGGGTTGCAGTGAAGGAGGCTCTGTCGCTGTGTTACTAATTTAAACTTTTAACTGGGGGTATTAATGTACCATTCGAATAGAGCGGCACAAGGCCATGTTTTATAGTTAGAGTCAACGTCTCCTGGGGCTCAAATAACCCACTCCTCGGCATTTTTCCTTTTAAGTACGCTTTAAACAGCAACGGTTAACCTTTTCTTCCCCGAAAGAGAAGTACAGCTTACGACCCAATCTCCTGTTCTAATCCCTTAAAGTATTTATCCGCACACCCACAAGGCCGAGTTTAAAGTGGGGGTCCCACATAGGAGAACTACATGGAAACGTGCTCCAAAAACAGTCCAGTCACCTCGGCACTTCCGTTTTCGTAGACGCCTCAGGAGCCAGGTAACGACTTTAGTTCCTCCAGAGTGGGGAGTATTGACTGGATGGTGAAGGGTTCCTGTTCTAACTTGCTATGGAATTTATCCGCAGGCCCACTTGAGAAAATGTCGGGTTTCAAGTGGTCTGGGATCTAAAGCGTACACTGACTAGGGGCAATAAAAGCGTAAACCCCTTCATCACTTTCTTTTGGGGGTTTGACTCAGGTGTCATGTAAAAACTGCTCCCGATGAAGTGGTATTGCCTAGCGGAGGTTGGTCCCTGTTCTTACCTGTTAAATATGGATAGTGCTAATATAGATAAATCTTTGTCTGTTCACGGTTCTCGACAACTTCCTATCCTTTGTAGCCCCGAGTAAAGTCTTTTTGTCGTCTTTGGTCTGCCAACTATTTACCCAAGCTTGTTAGGTAGGTTATGTGTTGCTTTCCTATTGTCGCTCTTGACTTCGATCTGTCCTGTGAGTGTGAATTTTTCCCAGCCCTCTTTCCTCATAATGCGTTCTAGAATTTTCTGATGCTACGTATAAATGTCCTTTTTGTTTCTCCTAAAACTTCGTCGTTTCTTCAATCCACGGTGTTCTCACCAACCTTCTGCCTCAAATCTCTTCTCCATCTGTTTACGGCCATATCATATTGAAACACAGGTTCCCGTACGATCACCTTAATTAAGCAACGTCGATCCTGGTAAGTAAGTAGATGGGTTACCGCTTGGGAATAGCAGGTGTACGAAGCTTGGATGTGTAGGTGGTTTAATGGATAACGGCTCGGAATTTTTAATCAGAGAGACGTGTTCGAATTCCAGTTGAGTTCGTTATATTCATTTATGCGCAGATACCCTTGGAAAAGTATGACGTCACTTCTCCCCCACTTATGGGTTAATTAGTAAGTTCTGTATCCCTAAATTATTATCTAAAAAAATTCGTATAATCTAAAAAAAATCTGGCTTTAAATAACCTGCAATGGGTTGATAAACCGTAGAAAATGAATCAATCTTCTCCATTTGTGATTGTCCAACATTCATTGCCATATAGGACGACAGATATTCCATCACGGTTCAGTACGTTTTTCTTTCTTTCTAATGAAATTTTCGTTTTTTTTAATACTTTGCTTAGCTTTTGGAAGAAATGCACTGCTATATTATTATAAGACTGGGTGTTTCCAGGGTCAGTACCTGCAAATAACCAATGTTTTTTTTTTGTTTTTTTCTGTTGCAGTTACTGCAAACACGTATAAGAATCGATTAAATTTATTGGCCAGAGATTGTGTTAGGATACTAGAAAGATGTAAAACTGGGAACTTGTGGTGTAAACAAGCAATTTTAGATTTTTTTTCCGTTATAACCTTGACATTATCATTATGTTTCCAACAAGGCGACCAATAACAGCATTGCTTGCAGGCACAACTGGCTTGCGGGAAAAAGATTCTCTCTTTCTCTCCTCTCTCTTTCGATCTCTCTTTCCCTATTCTCTCTCTTTCGATCTCTCTCTGATCTCTCTTTCCCCCCTCTCTCTCTCTGATCTCTCTTCCCCCCTCTCTCTCTGATCTCTCTTTCCCTCCTCTCTCTCTCTGATCTCTCTTCCCCTCTCTCTCTTTCGATCTCTCTCTGATCTCTCTTTCCCCCTCTCTCTTTCTCTGATCTCTCTTCCCCCTCTCTCTTTCGATCTCTCTCTGATCTCTCTTTCCCCATCTCTCTCTCGATCTGATCTCTCTTCCCCCCTCTTTTTATCTCTGATCTCTCTACCCCCTCTCTCTTTCGATCTCTCTCTCTCTGAACTCTCTTTCCCCATCTCTCTTTCCCCCCTCTCTCTTTCCATCTCTCAAGATTTTCCAGATATATTCAGAATATTTTTTATCCCTTTGAATTTTTTCAAATGCATTTCGCCTGCTTTTATTTTATTTTTATTTTTTTTTTAATATATTTACTTATTAAATTCCTAGCTTTCTTTAGCTATTACCCTCCTAACTTTCTGGTCTCCATTTGCATCTTTCATCCTTTCCGCCTGCTCTCTTCATTTTAAAATTACATTCACACACACAGACACACACACGTGTGTGTGTGTGTGTGCGCGCGCACGTGCGTGTGTGTATGTATTCTCTCTCATTACCAGTATTTTTATTCTCTCCCTCTCTCTATTCTATGAGATCAATAATTTTCGTTTTATGTTTCTCTCTCCTCTCACGTCGTGTTTAATCTAATTAGAAAGAAGTATTTTTTTTCCATTGCTATAGATTCTCTTTTAAATTCTTTTTTATTCATTTTTTTTTTTATTCATTTTTTTTCTTGTTATTACTCTTTTTCATTTATTTAATTACTTCTTTTTTATTTTATTTTTTCTCGCCACCAATTCTTTCTTATATATTTTCCTTCTAGATTATTTTCTTCTCTGCTTTGGTTCCAGCACTTTATGGTGCTGAATACAGTGTAGGTATCTTAATAATTAAGAGGTTCTTAATTTTTCTTAATATTGCAATAACCGATAGATGGCGGTAATAAAACTGGGGTTCAATTATCAGGCCATCTTATTAAACCACGGGCTAGAAACTTAGTTAAAAGTATCGCTCATCGTCCGGTTCACACTCCTCCCCAATTTTTTTGAACAGGAGTAGAGGTTTAACACGTGTTTCCTGTTTAGGATTGGGTTTCCGCTTCCTTCTAAATTCTTCTCATTCTCTTTCACTCCCAGCAGTCTTTTAGTGGCATTATCGTCTGGGAGGAACTGAAAAAAAAAAAAAAAAAAAAAGCGAAATTTATAAATGGGGTGTTTTTAATAAGCTCGAAACGGGGTCGAAAATTTTCATTAAAAAGAAAAATAATAAAAATACAGTAAACGCCCACCATCATTCGATATTATTTGATATTTACTAACTGTAGCTTGGACGTTGCACAACTTAGAAAGTATCGAGCACCTAGTAAGGATCGAACTCACTACTCAGTTGTAACTGATCTAGAGAGACAAGCTTGTTAATCATTACATCATTGAAGGGCCGAAATCACATCGAAGTGCCCCACACCCCTATTTTGTGGGGTCCTAAGAAAAAGTAACTATTTTTCTTGCTTTTATTCATCTATTTCCCGCGATTCACGAATCTCCGTTTTATCATTTCTTGTTTAAATTTCTTACGTCAATAATTCTGCATCTGTATTTATTTTTCTTCCTCTTTTTATTTATTTTTCTTACTCTCCTTTTCTATTTTTCTTACTCTCCTTATTTATTCTTCTTACTCTCCTTTTCTATTTCCGCCCATTCCTTTTTACTGGGTTTCCTTTCCCCTCCTTCACATTCAAATTTCATATAGCAATTTACTAACTATAGCTTACATATGGCACAGGGCCGAGAGTCGCAAGCGTGGAGTGAGGAACGAACTCACTATTCAGTCGTAATTGATTTTTAGATAGACCAGCTTGTTAACCATTACACCACGTCGAAGTGCCCCATTTAAAATTATATATATACCCCATTTAATTTTTTTCCCATTTTTTTTTTTTTTTTTGCTGTCTTAATCTCTCTTTGGATCCCTCGGTGTTTCACGCTCTTCTTCTTCGCTTTTTCTCTCTTTATTTTTCTATTCCCTTCTGTTTCTCTCTTTCTCCGTTGTTCTCTCTGTCTCTCTCCGTTTTCCTTGTTTTCTTACATATCCCCTCTCTTTCTTCTTTCTCCCTGTCTAATATCAGACTTTATCTTCTCTCTAATAGCATCAATTAATTTTGCGTTATTTTTAGTTTCACTATATCTTTCTATTTCATCCGTGTCTTTTCTCTCCTCACCAGCCACTATTTGTGTGTTTGGGGAGTAAGAGAGAGAGGGCAAGAGAGAGCGAAAGAAAGAGTGTGTTTAAAAACGTTCAGTCTCTTTAGCCCAACCCACCGTTTCAGGCCGGAACCCCGTGAAGTTGGTTCATCCAAAAATGTCATCGATGGTGGCTGTTGTCACTAACCTTCACCCCCATTTTTTTTCGGGCTTCACACGTTCGTCAGGCCTGTGTCTTCTCGCCTTCCCTTCCACCGTTAACAGGAAACTGCATGAAGGAAAAGCGGACGGTGTTAATTCAGGAGGTAGAAGATCACGAAATGACCCTCAGAGTTTGCTCCCACGCCCCTTACTGTTAACAAAGGCGGATCGCATCCAGGGACGGAAACCTGCTGAACATTAAACCAGACTATTAACTGGGTGGGGACGTTGGAAGTCAAAAGTTTGGCGGTGGGGCACCAACAGCAATGGACGGCGAAAAATAACGAACAAATTATCGTGAAAGTAGATTGACTAACTACTTACTCTCGCCTGGCCTCGCCTCGCCTCCTGATAGACTTTTTTTTTCTGCTAGAGTCCACAGACCTATTTTATAGGAAAACCTATGGACTGGGGTCTGCTAAGGTTCGAGTAGAAAGATTATTATTATTTTAATTGTAGTTGTTGTTGTTATTTGTTGTTCGTTGTAAATATTGTTGTCAATATAACTACAGCGTCGATTTATCTCAACTACAAAGAGTAAATTCAGAGGCCAAAAACAAAACAAAAAAAGACAAAAAATACTCAGACATTTAAACTTGATTATTGGAATTGCCACGACAATGTGTTGTTGCTGTTCTGGTTGTTGTTGCGGGGATAAAAGCCATGGAGGTTAGTAAATTTTGTTTCCGACATACATACACACACACACATATATATATATATATATATATATATATATATATATATATATATATATATATATTCACACATTGAGTGCTGGTGTTAATAAAATAGTCTTAACACAGCACCTGAAGATTGCGTTGTGCATGAAACTCCGAGTCGTGCTACTGGTACGAAAAAACAAATTTATCAATATATATATATATATATATGTTTATACGTTATTTTTTAGAGATTTAAATTTTTAATTTTTTCATTAAATGTAATGTTTATAATAAACAGTATTAACAACATTTAGCGGCCTGAATGTCCGAAAAATCTCTAAGAAAATATGTGTCCTCCGACAGGAATCGAACCTGTATCTTATAAGGAATTGTCATATAGCCCTACGTGTTATATCATTTCGCTACAGAGGAAGCGTCTGGTTATAAAGATTAAACTACAAACTTCATATATATATATATATATATATATATATATATATATATATATATATATATATATATATATATATATATATATATATATATTGCAAAAGTAGGTATACAGTAATATATGCTTATCTTTGTGCCAGAGGGTGTGTGAATGTCAGGGGAAACAGTCTGGACAATTGGAGGGTTTATATGTTTTTTGTTTTTTTTTTATTGAAATATTGTTATGTTTGTTTAATCAGTACAATAGGTTTTGTGCGCACATTTTGGTTTTCATTACCGTATAGTGTATACCTACTTTTGCATCCTCCTGTATACAGGACCCGTGTTAGATTCTCGTGTGACCCCACCGAATCTATGATACGCTCCCCCACTGTACTTCATCTTAATTTACATAAGGTAATATTCATATATCATGCAAATATTATTGCAGTCTAATCATATACAATAATGGAACAGATGCAACACAGGTGAACAATTCAGTTCGACCAATTGAAAATAAATGCAATATATTTAAATATAAATTAGGGGGGGGTGTATGCCGTAATAGATCATTAAATCCTAAATAAATCAACAATGTTTTTTGTTATCAGTTTTTAACACCAACTTGAGATTTTCTTGTTAAAAAGATTAATGGTTTTAACATATTCAAGATGAATATAT